TATGAAGAAGGGGGAAGGTATAGATAAGATGGACTTGTCAAATCAAATTGACCCTGCATCGACATAATAAAACAATACAATTTATGCTGCATCACAATTCCACAAATTCAGAGTCCAGAAGAGTAAGGCAAGACTTTCACATTTTTAAGCATTTAATTAAATTAGCATCAATAGAGCAAGTACACCCACCCACCCATTCACTCACTCAAACACATACACATATATATCTCACTCATTTTTACAAATAACTCAAAGGCAGCAAACATATCCAACACACCTTCCTCCTAGTTTTCCCACAACAACAACCCCATGAGGTGGGTTGGGCTGAGAGAGCGTGACTGGCCCAAAGTCACCCATTTGGCTTTCATGGCTAAAGTGGGACTTGAATTCAGGATCTCCCGCTTTAATGGCTAGGCTTGATCACTAGATTGACCAGACATCATTTGATTTGTGAACACTTTACTCTTGTCCTAGACTTGTATCAAGCTTTTCATCAAATAACTTGCATATGTAAACCAGTAAACTGGGAAAAGTGTAGCAAAACAGAAGGACAAGATTATAAGCAGCAAACAAAGGCAGCTTGAAAAAGGGGTATCTTAACTTCTCTGCAAAGAGTTAGCAATAGCACTTCGATTATATACCACTTCACAGTGCTTTACAGCCCTCTCTAAGCGGTTTACAGGGTCAGCATATTGCTCACAACAATCTGGGTCCTCATTTTACTGACCTCAGAAAGATGGAAGGATGAGTCAACCTTGAGCCGGTAAGAATCGAACCGCCAAACTGCAGGCAGCCAGCAGTCAGCAGAAGTAGCCTGCAGTACTGATTCTGACCCTGCACCACCACGGCTCATAGGACTTTGTAGAAGAACATACATAGTTCTGGGATGCCCATTGAAAAGTCCTTTTATTTATGGAAACCAATTTGACTTCATAATAACTAGAACCATGAAATGAAGTAGCTTTTACTCATTTCAGGAAAGCAGGAGTAGCAGGAATGTAAAGGAAGTTTGCATGGCTAGAACCAACTAAATGAAAAATCTTGTGGATTGATGTGAATGATGTGGTCTGTGATAGCTTACCGATATATATATATATATATATATATAAAGATCAGGGTCCTGGAAGAGATGCAGCTGCTTTAAAAAGTTAAGGATAGATACTACATTCATGCCCTTGCATTTCTGATGCACCTTGGAAGAATCAATTCTGAGTATCACTGTCTTTTTAAGTAGTAAACAAGCTGTAGAGAGACAATTCGGTATAGTGGTTAAGGTCAAAGCTAGACACCAGAAGACTGTGAAATCTAATGTAGGCCCACTTTAGGACAGAGCCAGTTGGCTGGCCTGGGCCAGTCACTTTCTCTCAGCCCTAGAAAAAAGGCAAGGGTAAACTACTTCCAGACAACCTGGCCAAGAAAAGAGTAAAAAATGTACTCAAAAAGGCTGTTCTACACAACAGTAACGAGGGTACACAATGTCATTTGTACCCATCTTTATCACAAGGCTGTGTATCACAAGACTATGTTGCCTGTTCATGATTCAGACATCAGAACATCAACATCGTAGATGGAAATAATTATGTAGTCATTCCTATAAGAATTTCCCACTTCGTACCATACCATAACTGCATTCAGTTAGATATCAAAGTAAATCACCTAGAACACAGGTCGGCAACCTGCGGCTCCGGAGCCGCATGCGGCTCTTTGAGCCTTCCCCTCTGGCTCCCAGCCTCCTCTGCCTTTGCAGAGAGAGAGATAGAGACAGAGAGAGGCAATTGCGCTTCCCTGCTTCTCTCTCTCTCTCTCTCTCTCTCTGTGTGTGTGTGTGTGTGTGTGTTTTTGTGTGTGTGTATGTGTAAAAGAGAGTGTACTCACAGTGTTCTCCGAGGAGCTGAAAAGCTTTCTGGGCGGAGCTCCTCCCTTTGCTGCGTCTCTGCAGGAAGCAGGAAGGGCAGGAGAGAGCTAGCTAGCCCAGCTAGGCTGACTCAGGAATTCTGGGAGTTGAAGTCCATGAGTCATGAAAGAGACGAGATGGCTTACCCCTGATCTTGTTGGACAATAGCTTGAAGCTTGCCAGGTGAGCAGCAGATAGGAGGGAGGGGAGAAAGAGAGAGAGAGAAAGAGAGAGGGAGGGAGGGAGGGAGAGAGAGGGGGGGGGGAAGAGGAGTGGCAGACCAAGGGCAGATAGAGAGGGAGGGAGGGAGAGAGACAGAGAGAGAGAGAGCGAGAGAGACCCTTTTGACATCTAAAATGAAGATAACACTGCATATATCCTTTTTTTAACCTGTGTGTGTATGTAATTTTATTCTCTTAAAGCATTGTCTTGGTGATCATTGTTTTAATAGTGTGGATATTCCCAAGAGTCATATTTTTACTTTTTTTTAGTGTGTGTGTGTGTGTGTGTGTGTGTGTGTGTGTGTGTGTACATACATACATACATACACACACACACGCGCGCGCGCACACACACACACACCTATAATAAAGGTAAAAAAGGATATATGCAGTGTTATCTTCATTTTAGATATCAAAAGGGTTTTGCGGCTCCCGGTGTTTTGTTTTTGGTGGGAAACGGGTCCAAGTGGCTCTTTGAGTGTTTTGGGTTGCCTACCCCTGACCTAGAATAATTAAGGGCACAGTAAACCTTGCAGCTACTAAGCAGCGTGTCCCTTTTTCGCCATGGTAGAATGCAGACGGTTGGCTAAGGAGATGCTGGAATTTGGTTCGGGCAGTTTGGATCATACTTTATACAAATATAAGTGGCCTGAACCCTGTTATTTCCCAGCAAGCATGTAGCTTGGATTGCGTATCTCTCGTATAACCAGCCCTCAAGCTTTGAAAGGTACAGGGATGCCCTTGACAATATATAAAATGTAGTGTTATTTTAGAATACTAAAGCTTTGCCCATGCTGTTTCCCGATGTCTTGAAAAGCAAGCGTAAAGAAAGATGTTTAACTTTGAACTGTCATTGGTAGAAATCTTTACTTAAAAATCGCTAGAGAGATTGTACATCGACGCTACAAATAAGGAAATGTAGGTACTTTTGATTTCCAGTTCATTTTAGTGGTATTAAGAGCTCCCGGTTGTGCTGAGAAAGGAATGATGGTTTCCTTTCCTTTCCCTTCCCGACCCCCCCCCCCAAGAAAAAAACAGAATATTAGCTAGACTGCTTATTTGCTTCCCCTTTTGGGAAGATAAATTTTAAAAATTATCTGTTTCTTTATGTAAGCATTTCTCCTTCAGATTTTAATTCACTAGCTTTTGAACTGCATGGCGTAAGAAGGATGATGCGCCATCTTGTGTCCTTTGTTAAATGTGCCAGCAGGAATAATTGCTTGCTTAGGCATTTAGCCGAGTTGATGAAACTTGTAGCATGCTCATCTTCAGAGCAGCTGTCACTTCTAAAAGCTATTGATGTTTCTCTCGATTAGGAGAGTGGGCAAAGGAGAAGGAGTTGTGCAACTAAACTGGGGAGAAGATTTATTCTCATCATTTGTTTTTATTATCTTGCCAGTAAGGCACATTCTCAAGGCTCCTTGCATTACCTGAGTAGCAAAGCTGCTCAGAGGGCTAAACCAGAACTCAGATGTGGGAATAGTTATTGGCTTTAATCCCCAAAGGCAAACTTGCATTTTTGTGTCCACTTGGGTAGATACAATAACATTTTGGTGGCAACAGCAGCAGCTAAGAATGTCTGGTTTCAAGAAGGCATTGCTGTTGGATGACAAGCGTGACTTGGAAAAAGAGGTGATTCCAGAGAACCTATCTGGGGGAGTGGAAGGTTTAGAAAAGCTATACAATATAGAGCAGGGATGTCAAACTCAATTTCATTGAGGGCCACATCAGCATTGCGGTTGCCCTCGGGCGGCCGGGTGGGTGTGGCCAAAGTGGGTGCAGCCTACTGGATGGGCATGGATATAGTGGGTGTGGCCTACTGGGTGGGCATGGCCAGCTCTACATCGTTCGTGTCAAGGGGGCCTGTGGGGGCCTGGGCAGAAGTGGGACAGATCTGAGGGTCTTTGGCCGAAGGGGGTGGGACCGGAGCAAGCACCAAGGCATGGTCCATTTCTTCATTCCTCACAAAGAGTGATACCTCCCCTGCATGCACCCAGGGGTGGGGCCGACGCGACAGGGGCTGGTTCCTCGCTGTTTCCAGATGGTCTTGTGGAACTAAAACTGAATGCGTTTCAGCATAGATGGCCACCACAAAATTGTACATTGGCTCCCGGCCAGCCTGGGCCAGGGCCAAGGCAGAGGGGGCCGTTCCCTCACTGTTTCCAGGATGGCTTCGCAGGCCACATGAAACCACTTCACGGGCCTCATCCAGCCCCCCGGGCCTTGTGTTTGACATGTCTGATATAGAGGATTTTTTTTTTTTTTGCTTCAGAGGATTTGTGTGGAATAAACATTGGAAACTAAATTTTAAGCAGATTATTGTGCCAGCTTCATTGTCCAATGGAAGCATAGAAACCTAATAGATGACTTCTTCCTCTTCCTCCCCTTCCTCTTACCCTTCCAGATATTGGATACCTGGCAACTGCCTGGATAAGTCCCTGCAGTTTTCTTGATAAGATTTCAGAATTGGTTTCCCTTGCCTCTTCCCTAGGGCTGAGAGAGTGTGACTGGCCCAAGATCACCAACCAGCTGGCCCAAGAATCACTTGCTTAAGTTAGGACTAGAATTTTAATGGTCTCCTGGGTTCTAGCTAGCGCCTTAACTACTAGACCAAACTGGCCCTTATTGTATTGCTTGACAGTTATGAATACCAATGGCTCAATCTTAGCTAAAAGGCAGGTGATTTTTCTGGTGCACCTAGTAGAGTTTCTTCCCCAAATGAAGAGATTCCTCCAGGAATGAGAGTGAAAGGGTCGTAGGTTGATACTGGTTTGTAGGCTGGTTTGGTTTTAGTGGTTGCAAATACTAACTATGCCTGTTAATGTTTGATAGCATGTGCTGTCCTGTGTTTCTCATCATTTTCTCTATCCTTTTCTTTTACACAGGATGCTTTTGTGGAGCTGTACAGCAACAACATCAGGCCTTTGTTTGATTTGTCATGGCTGCCTCTGAAGACGATCCTTAGTCTGGCAGTGGTGGGCGCCTGCATCACCCTAGGGGCTTACCTGGGACACACGTGACTTTGGACTTCATCCAACTGGTGATGGACTGATGGGAAATCTTGGTTTCAAAAACTGAAAAAAGAGGAGTGTTGAAAGAAGAAAATAATATGAGGTGTTTTTTTTCCCCCTGGTCAAATAATGCTATTATTTTATGAGCCAATTATCTTTCTATATATGTGTTCGGGTGTGTTTGGGTGTACACAGGCACAAACATGTGTGCATATATTTACACACGCACACACACACACACACATATTTGTGTGTAAACATAAATGCACACACATACACACACGCATATATATCTGCTATTACTGCCAAAGGGAATATTCATTTATTTTTTACATTGCAGAAGAGTTATTTATTAAAAATATTTTACATTTAACCCACTATTTTCCTAAAATTCTGGAACACAAGCATTGTATATTTTTTAATGAAGATTCCAAAGATCTTCGGCTTCCTTCTAAAGCATCATTCAACAGACTGTTTTATTACGATAGGCTGAAGAGCTGTAGGTATAAGAGACATACACGGCCCTTAGGGAGAGTGATGATCCAGTGACATAATTTTGTAGGTAAGATTTTAGAGCTGCCTATGAATATAGGGTGACCTAAAAAGGCAACAGGATGAGAAGACAATGATTTGGTGGTTCAACATGGTATCTATTCAGAATAAGAAATAATGCCAGATTCAGGCCAGTATTAAGACCGTATGGTTCAATCCTCTGTCCCTACAGCCAACAGCTGTTTTTGGAAAAATGCCCAGCAGAACAACAGCTGGAAATAGTGATTCATGCAGTATTTTGTTACACGAGTGCTGTGCCATTACATACCACAATTGGCCATCATTATAAGGAAGCTATTTGTGGGTCCTCAAACTGTGATTTAAAAGGCTGAAATGAAATACATTGGAATGGGCAGAAACAGTTTCATTAAATATTTCATCTGTAAAATTGCCGTTTTGTGCAATTATCAGGAAACCAAAAGTGCCTGTGCCTGCCTTGCAGAACTGGAGCCTCAAAGTCAGTCATGGCTCACATTCCCAGTAGAGTGAGGGTTTACTCGCAACAGAGCCTGCCTTATACTTGGTTAATTTTTCTTAGGGTCTTAAATGCAATTCTCTTTGTTAATTAGTAACATCTCAAAGTCAAAATTAGGCTCAAGGTTCATTTGGCCAGAAGAAGCAATCAGCTGGCAGAGATTAGGTTTGACTTCCACTTTGTATCAAAATTAGCACCCAAATTGCATTCTTAGCCCTGTGCCTGCCCCAGATTGGAAGTGTATTTGCCTCAGAAGTGATGCACACTGTTTATTCCTTCAGATGTCTTCGAAAGAAAAGAAGATAAAGAAATGGTCCAACGTCTCCATCTGGTATGACTCATAGACATTGAACCCGTTCAGATGCCAAGTGTTTTTGCATGGAAATCTGGAAAGGAAAGGGAGTGGAAAATTTGTTACAATAACTTTAAGCAAAATGAGCATAAAACACTCCACACGTACACTTAGGTTCTTTGATTACAAATATCTAGGTGGCTTACAGGCAGTGCTGCTGGCACCTTAACTCAACATCATCAGGCATCCACCCAGGTTTTATGTTGAAAGTGTCCCACCTCAAACATCTGAGCACCTCTCACTTGTTTACTGTTCCTTTGAATTCATCTATTGTCCAAAGAATACAAGTACCAATGAAGCAAAGAGAAGTTGTAGCTGCCTCCTGTTATCTTGACTTCTCCTTCTGGCCCTTGCTTCAAATTAGGCTCAGATGGAGAAGACGAATAAATGAGGCAGTGGTGACAAAGATCCTGAGCCTTCCCAAGTGTGTGGGCTTACTGGGCATTATACCCCTAAACCCCCGAAATAAAAAGTTGGCAATATTTAAAAATGTAACCAAGAATGCAGTGGACTCCGTTCATGAAGTTGTTTAACAGCAGCATAGATATTGATTTGTTGGACTGCCTGAACTGGACTTAGTCACCAAAGAAGGAAAATTGTCAGGATGATTACATTCAGATCTGGCTGTCACTTGGACAAAAGCAGCTGTAGTGGTGGATTGTTCCATCTTGACAGAACTGCAGTTCAGTAGTGCACTGTTCCATCTTAACAGAACTGCAGCAGTCCATTTATATCACCAGATTAAATAACTGGCCACAGTGAAAAGCAACGTGTGTGCACAGCTTGGATTTCTGCAGTTGTTCCGGACTTTGCTGTTGGGTTCAACACTGGAGAGCCTCTGCAATGCTTTGATTAGCTTAGCTTGCAAAGGTGTTTGGGATGCTGCAGAGGAAAGATTCAACAAGCTCAAAGATGCCAACCTTACCATTTGTTCCTTGGATCCTAGGCAACGTATTTCAGATTTGTGTGTGAGATATTACATGAAGGGCATAATAGATTCCAGGATGAAAATCAAGATTGAAAGGATCAAAAGGTTAAATTAAATGGGATGGACATATTTGATGTGAATGAATTTTTATCTTGTTTATTTTTTTAAAGCGTTTCCTTTCCATTTTTTTAAAAAATGACTGCAAAACTGTAAAGTAGAAGTTATGAAATAATATTAATTCAGTAATAAAATGTCTGGACTGAAATACAGTCATCAAAAGCTTTGTACTCAAAAGAATGTAGCAAAATAATTAACAGATACAACATTATGTAAGAAGTGAAATAACTTGATTTTGTGGCATTATATGCAAAAAAAAAAACCCATAAAAAACTAATGAGGTCAGCCTTCTCTAACCTGGTACTTGTTAACATGGGTTAGATAACGTAATCACCTTCAGAGTTCCTACTGACTAGAAGGCCAGCATGTAAGCTTAATAAAGAATAACCAGCTTCCATTGATGTGCTGCTTAGTGATTGTAGTTGTAATTCCAAAACAAGGGTTGGGCACCAAGCTAGAAAGGCTGATGTCAGAAATGTAGTACTTTTAAACTTAAAATGTAGTTGAGTCTTCCCCAACTTGATGCATTCCAAATGTATTGGATCCCCCATAATCAAAGGGGATTCTGGGAGTTGAAGCCCCATCACATCTGAAGAACACCAGGATGGGGAAGGCTGCTGTGATTCATACCATGTTTTTAAAGCTGCTTTAAAATGTAAATGGGCCAAGTCCATCAGAAAGCCACCTTTTCTCAGCTTCTTCTCCTGCCAATGGAGCGTGCACATGAGAACTTTCTGGTAGGCTGAGCCCAGGGTTTTTATGCATGTTAACGTGGCTATAGCTACTATATACAATTATGGCCTTTGCATCCAGCATTTCAAGAGCAACAGTGAAACGAGCTCTTTCATTTCGTAGCAGAAAGAAACATATAGAGATGTGCGACTGAATTCTAATTTCTAGATACTGGGCAATGTGTATTACAGCTTTACTTTATTTAGCTTTGCTAAACCTAAAATGTGTTTATTAACATATATTAAAATTGTAGATTTATAAATAGCAATTTTGTCTAAGTCAGGTGCATTTAGATTCTGTAGAATTTCAGGCATTTAAACTGTGCCTAAAAACGACTGGAATGTCCAAAGAATCAAAACATACAGTATAAGAAAACCACACAACGTTTTTCCAACTAGCCTTCAGTCAAAATATTTGGTGTAGAGAAGGAATGCCATAAAAGCTGTGCCTTTGCATTCCACAAACAAGCTTCAGGTCACTGAAACTCCAAGATGCAGTGATTCACATCAGTGCTTCATGCTAAAGCTTTACCAAAGAACTGGTTCGCATATGCTACTTGCTACATGATTTCTCATTACTTGGTTCCTCAGCATTTAACAACCATTAATCTAAACTGAGACTAACTCTTCCAACTGGCATATGGAAAATTGTGAATGCAGTCTTACGCTCTTCGGTGTAAGAGTTCTCATACTGGAAAATATGAATACAATTAATTTGTGGTACACGTCACAGTCAATTAGTAATAAACATGTATGTTTGAACCAGGTTCCTTAATACAACCCCTTGAGCAACCAAGTCTTAGGATGCTGTCCAGAAGCTTGAAGAGAATGACAAAAAATAATGTGTGTTCAGTGCTGCATCAGAGGCTACATGCTTTTAAATATGTCATGGACAAACATGGGGCAAGGAAAGAGATGGATCTAAGCTACAGTAACAAGTAACTGCCCTACCCTTCTAACTATTGCATGAAAGTCATTACAAATGAGATAACTGAAATACTTTGATGTATCCACCCTTTCAAGAAACTGTTTAATTAGTGTGGCTAGAATAGAAATGTGGGAATATCCATCATCTATAGCAGAGGCCTCTTCAAACTTGGCAACTTTAAGACTTGTGGACTTCAACTCTCAGAATTCGTCAGCCAGCATGCGATGACTGAGGAATTCTGGGAGTTGAAGTCCACAAGTCCTAAAGTTGCCAAGTTTGAAGAGGTCTCCTGTTCTGTTGAATAGGGCAGAATAATAATGCTCCCCCAAAAGGTTGTGCAAGCATCTCAGCAAAACGGCTTGTGGGATAAGAGAGCATGGAACATTCTCAGCACATTCTCTTCTTAATTTCCAGATTCCTCTTCTTAAAAGATTGTACTACAGGTCTCATGCACCATCAGTAAGAACAGAGTGTTTTTGAATGAAATGTTTACATTGTCAAAATAGAACGCTATCGGAGCTAGGAATGGCTATGCTGCTAGAAAATAGTAATTATTGGAACAAAGTTAATTTTCTTGTATTGCCAATGCTGAGATTGTTTTTCAAAATTGCTTCACATTGCAGGCATGTAAATAGATGCTATTGCTGGATGTTTTCCTGTTGTTTTTGCCCCCTTGGGCTTCTTGGTATCCTAAGAGTCTATATACCAGAGGAGTCCAAATGGCTGTCAATAGTCTCTGTCTTTAGTAGATGGCCAGTAGTGTGTACTCCACTTCCCACCCCTTGATTGCTGCAATTGTATAATACTGTGGCTGCACTAGCTATAAGGATTGTTAATATTGATACTGTACTATTCAAGTTGAACGTATTTTAGAGATGTTAAATGTACATAAAAGCTTGATTTTGCCTATCTTCTCAGTTGTTTCACCATGATCTTTCCTGTTTTTCTTTGGTACTTTGTTTTGATTTAAGGGGAAAATCCTGCAAAACACAGCTTTTAGAGCTGAAAATGATGTAATATTATACAGATATTTTCATCTGCTTATGCTTTGCAATTTTCAACCCATTTCCCTCCCATCTCATCTTGTGGAGTATTTCACATTGTGTCTGGAAAACAGAAACTCAACCTCTAGTCTTATGTCCAGTTACTGATGTAAAAGTCTTGTTGAACTAAACTTCTTAAGGGTTGAATAGAATTGTGCTGACAGCCATTCTTTCCAGGATAAATTATGGGCTCATGGCAAGGCTGAGATTTGCACTTGAGTTTTTTGATTACAGTATTCATCTACTCAGCCATACTGTAGTAATAGCTTAGGATAGGAGCGCTTAAGTCATGGAACTGCGATTCCTCTTTCATATGAAAGTAAAACTGCACCAATAAGCAACATTAAGCAATGAATGTTTTGTGTGATGGTTTCCCAAGGGAAAAAATATATATTTTGGGGAGGGTGACCAAGACATCCCCTAATTTACCTTCTTCAATATAACCTTGGTTTAGTATAATACATTGCATATTTACATTGTTTCAAAATTACATTCATTTCCAAGTCCAGTATCCCTTCCTCTGCTCTGAATAAATTCTCAAGCTCAAGGTTGACTCAGCCTTCCATCCTTCCGAGGTAGGTAAAATGAGGACCCAGATTGTTGGGGGCAATGTAAATATATATATATACATTGCTTACTGGTGTACACTGTTTAGAGAGTGCTTGCACTTAAAGCGGTATATAAGTCTCATAAATAAATAAATGTATAGAAACGTTCTTAGGTTGTCAGTGAAAGATCAATAAAAGGGGTTGTAATTTGTTTTGGGACTGGGGAAAGAATTCCTTCTATCCCAACTAGTTTCTAAGGGCCAAATGAAATTTAGTATTAAAAATGTAAACATAGTTTGCATATCTTGATTTTCTTTATGGGAAGCAATGAAATTCAGTATATGAAAAGGGCATTTGTTTCTCTTGCAATACTACTTTTAAAACGATACTCAGTCACAATTGCTTTTGACCCCAAGCATTTGATGATAATGGAAGCTTGTCTCTTAGTAACTGTGAGGAAGTGGGTTTTACTGAGTCCATGAGGGGTGAGGGAGAGCATTAAGTCACCCTTCCATGTGCACCATAGTTATTAGTTGATGGTGGCCCCCTACATCACTGAAAGACTGTAGATTTAGTGCAAACGTTAGCCCATGTCTCAGTGGATGCACAGAGTGAACTGAATTTTGAGATGCAACACACAACGTTGTGTCTAAAAGTATGCTGATTTCAAATAATCAATGGCAAATGGAAGAACCACTCTGTTTCTTCACCACGGTGTGAGTTACCTTTTAGTAAATTTGTTAAATTCATAATGTAACCATCCTATTCCACCAGTTAGGAAGTTACTGTTTAATTCCAGGTTGCTTCTCTCCTTGGATTAGTTTCCCTCCATTGTTTCTTGTCTTGCCTTCATGTGCTTTGGAAAATAAATTGACCCCCTCTTCTTTGTGGCAGCCCCTCAAATACTGGGATACTGCTATGATGTCACCCCTAGTCCTTCTTTTGTCTAGACTGACCGTACTGGTGTGGTATAGTGGTGGTAGAATAGGAATGGTAGATCCATGTTCAAATCCACCCTCAGATATGGAAACTTCCTGGACTGGATAGATATATGGATAGATAACCTTTATTGCCATTTTTTACTGTGAGCACAATGGCACACATTAAAAATGGAATTTAGTTACTTGCTCTCAAAGTGCACGCATACTTAACACACATTTAAACATATTATATACAACATATGTCTAGACCTACACTCTTACATATAACTAACATATAAATGTTAATCACTGTCCATCTTGAATACATAATGGAAGGAGGAAGCTTTAGAGTTCACAAGGTTAATACTGTATGGAACAAAACTGTGGCTGAATCTGGATGTTCTGCTTCGGATACCATGGAGCCTCCTCCCAGAAGGTAACAAGGAAAACAGATTGTGAAAAGGACGTGTAGCGTCCCAGATAATCTTGCGGACCCTGCTCAAGCAATGCTTATATGCTATGTCCTGGATGGAGGGGAGGGTTAAGGAGGATAACAATAGTGTAATTGTTATGTGAAACACTGCAGGAGGGAAAGATATGTATAGTATTCATCTATAGCTTCAGAAAGGAAAGTGTGGTATAAATCTAACAAAACCCAAGCCTTTTGAATTGTTGACATTCTAGGCACAAGGAACCTGGAGGCCTCCATAGCACACTGATTTTACTGTATTCCCCCATGTCACAGTAACCAGATATTGCATCTTCAGGATAAGTGGATTAGGCTTTTTGTTTTCTTCTGGCTAGTTTCACCAGCACCACTATTATCATAATAGAGGTAGTACTTGACTTACAATCAGTAGTCATTTAGCAGCTGTTTGAAGTTACAAATGGACCCCCACAAAAGGACTTACAGCAGGATTCAAAGTTCCGATGGCCAGTGGCCATCAGTCCAATAGTCACATATTGGAGCCTGCATTTACTGGTGTTTGCATTGTTCCGTGATCACGTGACCACAATTTATTATGGTTTTTGCCGGAAACCAGCAGTAAATGTCTGACAAAAATTGCGGATTGCAGAAAATGTATTTGCTTAACGACCGCCACATTCACTTAACAATCACCCCCCACAGAGAGCATAAAATCAGTTGCGGTCATGTGATGACCCACTTAATGACTGGCACAACTTAATTGCCAACTTCCAGGCTTAATTACAGTTGTAAGTCAAGGGCTACATGTAAACGGATCCAATCGGGTTTTGGATATTGTATATTAGTTTGCTTGCTTATTTGCATTTATTGAAATAATTTTAACAAAGTTCATCAGAAATCATGCAGCCATTCAACTTTCCATGGAGCCAGCTATTTTTTTTTTTTTGTTAGAAAACCACATTGATTGATGGTGATATTTCCCCTTCCTCCAATTAACAAGAATCTTATAAGTTTTGTTTGTTTGATACTTAAATCTAAGATAACAATTTCCACTCGGCAATAACACTCATCTAACATTGTAAGAAACGGATCACGTGTGCTTTCAGTCAACGTAGCCTCTAATTATATGGATCAGGTTGAGGTGTAATATATATAATTTACAATTGCATGCAGCAGACTTCCTCTGTCTGCTGCCTTTTTGATGTTTTGAGTCTTCAGTTCCCAACTAGCATGGAGGGCACCAGGTTGACGAAGAAGACTGCTCTCTCTTAGATGTAACCACTTGGAGAGTGTAATAAAGCGCTATGGGGTGATATATAAGTCTTAAGTGCTACTTCTATTGCTAGATGTAGCTGGGTTTCTGATAAAGTATAAGCAAAGTCAGTTTGGGTGATACTTTAATTCTGTAATTCACAGAGTCAACAATGCTCGAATAGGATAATTTATTGATTTAAATATATGCTGCATTATTTCTGCCATGCAGATTGCAAAATCATTTATTATAAACACTTACATCATGAATGCAATCCGATTAGTACTAGAGGTAGATTTAAAACAGAATAATGGCATTCTACGTGAAGATCTAGCATGCAGCTTTTGGTGACCCCAAATGCAACTGAAACTGCGAGTGGGATAATTGGGATAATCATTTTTAAAAAGTTAATTGCATCTTCACCAGTATATCTAGTTCTAGAGATCCACATGGAGTAGTTTTACAAGAGCAGGTTCTATTTTAAGGAATCCCACCGTATATTTTCCTCTGTTTGCACCAGAAATCATATGGAAGCTGTTAAATGAGGTCAGTGCTCCATGTAATAATTAATCCTTGAAATCACTTATGGCCAATTTCAGGCTGAAGAAAGCCTTAGAACATGCCTTTCTTTGGCCCTTTCAGTTCCAGAGTAGATGACACATTTGTAATTGCTTAAGGGTTCCAGTTAACTATGATTTGGGACCCAAAATAGATCATTAGGGTACACTGGAAGAAAGCCATATGATTGTAGGATGCCTAGCCTGACACTATTTCTAATGCTCTTGGCAATTATCCAGTTATGCAAGAGCTGAAACTAGGCCCTTTATTGCTGAAAAGCTACAGAGCAAAACCATTGCCAATGAAATTCCCATTATGGCTTTAATGGAATCTGCCCTCCAATTAGTTGTATCTGTTTTGAATAGCTTATTTAAAAAAATGTTCATATATCCTGTTTAAAAAGAACCATCTTCCCTGTTGACCTGGCTTTTGAGGAAAATTCTATTCCCACATTCTTGCTTGACTATAAAAAAACTCCCAAGATCAAATTGCTTTTCCACCTATCTCATCCAAATGTCCTTCAAAATAGGTTATACTAAAATTCCTAGAATTCTCAACAACTGTACGGGTTGGCAATTCTATGAGATATACTCGCCGTATATTTAGAAAGCACAAGACTGAGGTAGGTAGCTACTCAGGTAGCTCAGTGTTACTTTTCTGACTGGGAACAGTTCCTCAGAAGCCTGTTAGGCTTTTAGGTGGAGTTGGCAAAATAAATCTGGTGCTTTCTGCATATAAAGCAACTGAGCTCTCTTGAATTTCTCCTTATTTGAAGATCACATCACAAGGCCATTCAAACACATCTTATGCCATGTAAGATGATGAACTTCAATTCCTCAACTAAAAGTTAAATAGATGATAGGTCTTACTTCGGCATTAAGGATGGAATTGGGACACCCTGCTTTGTCTATTGCATACAGTGACAGCAGAGTTCTAAGGCTACGGGGGGGGGGAGAGGGGGGGCAGTGTGATATGTATATCTGATTCCTTTACTTCTCCCCAATCTGCAGAAATTGGTGCTTAAACTAGTTGCTCCATCTCTGGCTGGTCTTGAGACTTCCCTAGGAATTCCTTAGTCCTTTTATCCTAAACCACAGAGCTCCAGTTTCATATACCGGTACTTTTAAATAACTATCAAGATTCTGGACCAAGACATACTTCACAT